GTAATATCGTATCGTATCGTATACAGAGCATCAACTAGTTCCTGAACAGTGTCCTTCACATGCTGATATACAAGAGAGGGAGTTACACAGTCACAAGATGGAGGAATATCGGTTATTGTAGGTAATCATACATCCTTTCATGTACAAAATACTGACTTTTTCTCAAAATGTTGACTTTTTTCTAAAAATCAAATAATTCTGACTTTTTCTCAAAATTCTGACTTTTTCTCAAAATTCTGACTTTTTCTCAACATTCTGACTTTTTTCTCTCAAAATCTCAACATTCTGACTTTTTTCTCAAAATCTCAACATTCTGACTTTTTTCTCGAAATTCTGACTTTTTTTCTCAAAATTCTGACTTTTTCTCAAAATGTTGACTTTTTTCTAAAAATCTAAAAATTCTGACTTTTTCCTCAAAATTCTGACTTTTTCTCAAAATTCTGACTTTTTCTCAAAATTCTGACTTTTCTCTCAAAATCTCAACATTCTGACTTTTTTCTCAAAATCTCAATATTCTGACTTTTTTCTCAAAATTCTGACTTGTTTTCTCAAAATTCTGACTTTTTTCTCAAAATCTCAAAATTCTGTCTTTTTCTTAACTTAAAATGTTAATAATCCCTGGTCCCCGGCTTGAGCTTCAATCTCAGGATCCATGTATTTGTGATCCTCTCCAGAATGGAAGTAGTCATCACATACAGAGCATCAACTAGTTCCTGAACAGTGTCCTTCACATGCTGATATCCAAGAGAGGGAGTTACACAGTCACAAGATGGAGGAATAGAAAGCAGTATTCAATGTTTACTTCAGATTAGCTCCACGTCAGAAAGGAGCAAGCTTGTCATATGTCTATCTCCATAGAGGCTGAATCATCATGTTAATCACATAGCTATCATATGCCTCAAACAGTCCTGATGCTCTTCTAGGTAATCAGACATCCTGTCATGTTCACAGCTACAGTTGGGATACCTTTGTTATCATGTTACTCTCATATTGGAAGAGTACATTCAGTATTTTCCCAACAACGCTGTATTTTAATCTCTCTGCAGCCGCCTGGATGCTAACCACATCTCCAGCATTCCCTCCGGATGTTTCTCCGGCCTGCGCTCGCTCCGTCACCTGTGGCTCGATGATAACTCTCTGACGGAGGTGCCGGCCGCCGCCCTTGAACGAGCTGCCCGCCCTGCAGGCCATGACCCTCGCTTTGAACCACATCAGCCACGTACCAGATCACGCCTTCAGCAAACTGGGCCGCCTGGTGGTGCTGTACGTAACACACAAACACAAACAAGTCCTTAAACTGTGCAAAATATTTTCTGGACTTTGTTAGTTGGAATTCAATTGAGAAATACTTTTATAGGGCGAATAAAGGTCCAAATCTTAGTCAGTAAGGTAACGTTAGCCATGTAGCTTAGTCGGTTAGTTAGCAAGTTAGTTAGCATGTAATGAAGTTCATTAGAAGTATGCTAGTAAGCTGTGTTAGGTAGTTGTTTAGTATCAAGTTAGCTAAAAGCTTGTAAGGCAGATCTGTTAGTAGTAATGTTGAGTTAGATAGGCCTACTCTGTTAGACAGTTGTCAATAGCAAGTTAGCTAGTTGTCTATATTACGCAGTGTCTTAGTAGTTAAGTTAAGGTATGTTAGGCAGTTGGTTAGCAATATTTTTAAGTTGCCTCTTGTATTAGACAGTGGGTTAGTAGTAATTTAGCTAGTAGCCTAACCAATGTGAGGCAGTTGGTTTGTAGTAATGTTAGGTTAGAAATTCATTAGACAGTTAGCAAGTTAGCTATGTTAGACAGTTGGTTAGGTTAGCTAATATCTTGGGCAGTTAGTCAGAAGTAATTTTAGGTTAGCCGGTATGATGGACAGTTAATTGTAGCAAGTTAGCTAAAATGTCAGGAAGTTGGTCTGAAGTAATGTTAAGTTAGCTATCGTGTTAGTCAGTGAGTTAGCAGCTGGTTAGCTAATATTTGTTAGAAGCTTATAGCTAAGCTAATACCTTATGTCATTTGGTCTGTAGTTATGTTAGGTTAGCTAGTATGTTAGACTGTTGCTACAAGTAGCAAGATAGCTAGTTAGAAAGTGTGTAGCTAGTCTATTAGACAATTGGTTTGGTAGCCTAGTAAATAAGCTAGTATTTAGACAATTTGTTTGCTTATATATTTGCCGGTTAGTGCTAAGTTAGTTACTATGTTACAGCAGTGAGTAGAAGGTAAACTAGTTTTGTTTAGTCCGTTGGTTTGCCAAGTTCAATATTAGCCAGTAAAGTCAATTAGTTAGTTAACTCGTTATCACTGGCAAGTAAGTTAGTCGGGCAATTGAGGGTCATTTTATTAAATCAGTGTTTCAATCAGCTAGATTTTGACACAAATGTACAGGTTAGGTCGTATAAACTCAGAACATTTAAATTGACTGAACTGAGAACATCTGAATTTGTGTTAAGACCAACAAAGCCAAGTTTTTGTTGTTGTTATTGCCTGTGTGTGTGTGGGTGTTGCTAGGAGC